TTTACCATTACAACTACTGTTGCTGCTACTACTAATACTACCGGCGCTACTAATGATACTGCTACCACAAATACTGCTGCTACTAATATTGTTGCTAATACTACTGTTACTACAACTAGTATATACTACAGATATTACTACTCACAAAAACAACAACAACGCGTAGCAGCAACTTTAAGTCTCAAACGACGACCCTAGCGACGACAGCAGCACAGAACCTACCGGCCAACATACTAACAACGGAGAGGAGGATCTTTTCCACCGATTGTACTGGGCTCCAACGTTCTGATGACGTCTCATAACCCAGCGGATCGTCGCCGGGGGCGTGGAGAATTGAGATGCAGACTCGGCCATCGGGGTAGACTAAAGTAACAACAAGAGAGGAGTTAGCAAGCAGCCAGTACATATAGGCGTGAGAGCATACAAGATTCGAAAAGGTTACAAAAGGTCGCTTGTTACAAAATAAGCCCCTGCCTTCCCTCCCTCCTTCTCAAAATGCGTATGGGGGAGAGAAGTCGACGGCCAAATCCGGGGGCCGGGGGGGAGGGGTAACAGGTGCCGTAACTAGCTGGCATTTTTCAAAGCACGATGCCAAATAGCAAATGTTTACACACAGAACTAACATCGGTTATATAGAAGAGGATAAACGTTGTCGGTACAGAAGAAGTAGGATGAAAAACACGAAGGAAGATCTCAGGAGAGGAAGATTAAATATAACAGGAGGGAGAGACCTGGGCCAACACGCACGGTGCACCCTACTGTTATGACCCGCGCCCGGTACTTGTAATTAACACGAACGCAGGGCTTCCCCAAGCCAGCACGAGAGAGGAAGAGAAGGTAATCGACCACGGGGACAACTGTATTTACAAGCAGCAAGTCATTCTCACAAAAAGGCCACGGATCTTTACTGCATTCTCTTGATGAGAAAGGGTCGGAAAAATAGACTAATCAGATCTGACGAGAGATCGATAGCCACAGTCCAGGTGCAAGCTCTTATCGCAGTGTTACAGCTCACACAGGTGGCTTCCTCTTCGATGACTCGTGGAAATGGAGGCATTCCCAACACCTACGCTCATAGGATTAAAGTGTTCTCCTCAAAGAGTATTTAAGTGCCACAATCTCTTCAACTACTCAAACGCACATGCAGTGGACAAGCCGTCGGGTTAAAAGTTGTCGTGGTAGGCGAGTTTATGCTTGAGAGGTGTGCCACCCCTAAGCTGGTCACGCGG